ATTTTCTTCCAATCAGCATATGGTTTGTTTCTGCTTTCTATACTTTATTTGCTGCATTAATTTCCCGTGTATTGCTTAGCTCACTTAACTGCTTTCTATTCAGCTATGGGAAAACACATGGGCCTTTATCAGAAAACTGTAAATGTCTGCAATCTGGTCTGGGGGGTCAGATTACCTTTGGGGATCACAAGTTTAGAGAGAATGCCTACCCTGTATGATTCTGTTGCCCCCTTAAGGACCATTCGCCTGTTATACCCATGGTGCATTACTAATAAGGCAATTTTAAAGAAAAAGATGAAATTTTGATATACTGTATTCAGCCAAGCTACATAATTCTTATCAATCTTTAATTTATTCTTTAAAATGTATTAAAAGAATTGGATGTTAGATATCGAGTAACTTAATTGTGTAACCACATCAAAATTTAGTAGCATTCCCATGGAGAAGTCTCTGAGTGGCGAGCCCCATTGGACAGAGACGCAGGAGGAGCAGTAGCTCTGTGGGGCCAGTGCTCATTGGGAACCAACTTAAAAGCTGGCTGCCCACATGTATCGGTTCCCAGCTGCACACAACTCCCCCCACCTCCACATGCTGCTGCCTCAGAGGGAGAAGCTCTCTGGGAGCTGATACACACAGGCATCCTGCTTGAAAGCTGGCTTCCTATATGTACAGAGGCTGAAGCTGGGGGAAGGAGGGTCAGGTGATTCTGCAGGATCCGGTGCTCGTGGTGAACTGGCTTAAGCGCCAGCTCCCAATGGGCACCCGCTCCCGTCTCTCTGCTCTTGCTGCCTCTGATACAGAGGCAGAAGGGAGCTAGGGAATGCATATAGTCAATAGGATTAACCAGTAGTGCCAGGATTATCAGTTAATCAGGTAGTCAACTACACAATGACATAGAATCATAGGACTGGAAGGGACCTCGAGAGGTCATCGAGTCCAGCCCCCCGCCCTCAAGGCAGGACCAAGCTCTGTCTACACCATCCCTGACAGATGTCTATCTAACCTGTTCTTAAATATCTCCAGAGAGGGAGATTCCACCACCTCCCTTGGCAATTTATTCCAATATTTGACCACCCTGACAGTTAGGAATTTTTTCCTAATGTCCAATCTAAACCTCCCCTGCTGCACTTTAAGCCCATTACTCCTTGTCCTGTCCTCAGAAACCAAGAGGAACAAATTTTCTCCTTCCTCCTTGTGACACCCTTTTAGATATTTGAAAACCGCTATCATGTCCCCCCTTAATCTTCTTTTTTCCAAACTAAACAAGCCCAGTTCATGAAGCCTGGCTTCATAGGTCATGTTCTCTAGACCTTTAATCATTCTTAAAAGACATCTCTAAAAGAAATTCATATAAATTGTTTGAGTAGCTATTCCCCTGTCCTCAATATGTTGGTCTGAGCACAGATGAATGCTAATAGATATAGCATTAATCGCTCAAGCTATTACATAATTAGGAGCTAATTACAGTTCCATTTAATAGAGGGATGAATAAGGATGTGTTGGGTGGTTTGCTGCATGGGAATGGAAAAACAAATGCCATTCGTATTCCATTATGTTTGTGGTCAAAGAAAATCTTGCTTCTATCTACATGTGAGATTATCAGATATGGAATAGTGTCCTGTTCTGATCCAGTTTACTTTTGTACATTGTCAGTTTGTTCCTTGCCTCACAGATTTTGAGATAAAACTGGAAACTGATATTCTGTTTTAGCCATAGAACAGATAAAGCATGGCATCTCTTGAGCTGCTCTCCTGCCCCTGTCAGTACATGTTACACATTCTGGAGGGGATTGATCTAGGAACCAAACCTTTTGGGACTTTGCTATAATTGGCAGAAAAAACATCTGATGTGGTAATAGTTCTGTGATGAGCACACTCATCTATTGGACCTATAATCATGTTTCTAACCAGCCAGCAGTTTTGGTGGAAAAATTGTTGCTCATCAGAATTCACGTGACTCAGAGATGCTTGAAATATTTTTCTTGGTTTGAAAGTTCTTCATCCCTACTTCTTTGTAGCATGACTGTTTTAATGGTAAAAGCTAACAGCTTCTTTCTGTGACATTCAAACAACATTTCTGTTCTGTATAGTAGCGATATGCTACAGTATAACTTTTGCTGATGCTTTTTTGTAGCACTTCTTAAGGCTTTGGAATGTCTTTTTGTTCTTAATATGTCACTCTTTGTTCTAAATCTGCCAGATTGACTTCCTGAATTCAGTAATAGTGGATCTTCAAAGGAAAAACGAAGAATTAAAGCTAAAGGTGGAAATGATGTCTGAAGCTGCTCTCAATGGCAATGAAGAAATAAATAATTATGACAGGTATTAATATTAAAGGGAAGCTGTTTGGTTTGTGTTCTGCTGATTCCGCTATAAATCACTTCTGTCGGATAATGCAGCTGCAGCAGGCCAGCCTGACTGACAGCAGAAGTACAAATGTGATTTGCCCACGTCTCTCAGTGACTGGATCCACACTTTCTGATCCATCTCTAACTTCTAGCACTGGGGTGCGCAATAATTTTTGATTGGGGGGAGGTGCACTTAAAGATTTTTGGAAAGTGGTCGAGGGCTACACTCTTCCATATTAATGGAGGAGGTGCAGGGTCTGGGATGGAGGCTGACTGCAGAGGAGAGCTTGGGATAAAGGATTGTGGTGCAGGAAGGAGTGGGATCTAGGAGGGAGTTGGGGTGAAGAAGGTAGTTGTAACCTAGAGCAGGGGACTGAATTGCAGGGGTTTGGAGTGTGACCTAGGGAAGTAGGGTATTGGGTGCCAGATCGGGGAGAGGGTAAGGGTACAGGAGGGGGGCCGAGAATCTAAGTATGTTGTAGGGATGTTAAATATCAGTTAATTGAATAATCACTTAATCTCATGAATTCTTGTCAGTTAGTCGGCTATTCTATAGTCCCCAGGCAGCCCGTGTCTGGGGCAGGAAGAGTCCGAGCTCCTGGACCCAGCATGAGCCATTACTGAGCTGGGCTGCTTGCCTGGCTTCTAGTACACTTTAAATGCAGAGATGCAGTAGGGGTAGGTCCAAGATCCAATGCAAACCAGGACTGAGCTGGGCTGCTGGCCAGCCTGCTAAAAATGTACTGACTGGAGGTGGGAGCGGGGAATGTGTGTAGGCTTTAACAACCTATAAGCTTTTGCTTATCAGTTAATTTACTACACTATTACATCCCTAGTATGTTGAGTGGTGAGAGGTGAGGGAAGGGAGGAGCGGGGGAGCCAGAGGCAGGTTCTGCCCAGGAGACTTACCAGACAGCAGCCCACCCAACCAGCCTGCCTCCCTGCAGAGCTAAATGCTCGCAGAGCTTAAAACATTTCTCTGCCTGCCTGCCTGCCTGCCTGCCTGCCCCATGCTTGCACAGGCTGCAGGGCCATGTGCTTGTGTGAAAGTAACTGAGTTAGAGAGAAGGGAGGTTCGGTGCTTTGTTGCTTCCTGTCGTTCAAACAGACAACTTCCATTGGCCGGTTTCTGGCCAGAAACCGGACAATGGGATTGTGCTGGGGAGGGGAGCAGTGCCTGAAGCTTTCCTCCTCCGGGATCACAGTTCTGAAAAAAAATGGCCTGGCAGCCACTTTTCTGAGTGGTCTGTGGGGAAAGCAAGGGAGCTTGCCTGAGGCTCCCCACTGCATTCACAGACCAGACCCGGTGGGTCAGATCTAGCCTTTGGTCCATATTTTGTCCAGACCTGTTCTAGTGCAAGCTGTTTCTCTGCAGCTCTGAAATGAACATCAGCAGATCTTAGTTATCAATTACCAGCAGTTAGCCTGGCCCACTAACATAAAGAAAACATCCTTTACTTCTACAACCTGATATGTGAGTGCCAATGTGGAGAACCAGTCCAGACAAAAAGAATTCAACATTACTTGAAATAATTATGGTGTCATAGCCCCCTGTATCAATGAAAAAATAAACTATTTTTGTCAGTTCACAGAAATGCCTTTGAAATAGTGGGTTTGTATTTGTATAGATTAAAAAATACAATGAATAATGAGTTTAATGGCTACAGTGGATGATGTTGTCACCATGTGAGGAATCTGAGTGACAGGAAAGCAGGGATTTGCTCCTTTTTAAAAAATTTTGCTGCTTGTGATCTTTTAAAATGTCTTAATTTTAAAAATATTGTTGTAAACTTGTCTACCAACAACACTTTTATGTTATTGGTTTATAATGTCTCTTGGGATTGTTCTCCTTTAAGAGACTATTCGGCTTAACCTATACCAATTTTCATCTTACAGTGAGGATGAAAACCAGTTAAAGAAAAAACCTCGCCTCTTCTGTGATATTTGTGACTGCTTTGATCTCCATGAAACTGAAGATTGTCCAACTCAGGCACAGGCATCAGATGACCCTCCTCATTCGACTCATCATGGCAGCAGAAAAGAAGAGCGCCCCTATTGTGAAATCTGTGAGGTGTTCGGGCACTGGACAACCAGTTGTAATGATGATGAGACCTACTAATGCAATACAAGGCCAGGAAGACACACTTTATTTGTATGCACTAATTGGACAGTTTATCCCACCAGCATTTGTGTGTACAGACATCAGGAAGAGAGACAATGATTCTTGACACATAACATCCTCAGTTTCTTCAAACCTATAGATATTTTAATCTTCCATTCATAAATATCTTATTCCCCCTTAATAAACTAAAGTGAAGTATAAATAAATTATTTAGTAATGACTTTTTGCCATTTATTCCCAATTTCTGGGCTTGAACCATTTCTAACAAGAAATGTCCCCTATGCTACTAAATTTATCTATAGGAAAAAATTCTAGAAACAAATTATAGGAACAAAGCATTATAGTTATGTTATAGCTTATTTAAATACCTTAAAATTATGCTGTTAATTTTCATATTTGCACTAAGATTTTAAGGCTGCATTTGTATATTTAGATTTTTTTAAGCTTTTGACACTGGAATGAGTTGAGAAATATTTCATCTTGATTTTCTTCTACTCATTAACTATTTTGCTGTGCTCTTGATCAAAGAACATGAGTTCTGTGCACTACCTAAATATACGTAGTGCCTTTCTTTCTATTGGACTACAGTCTGAAATTTATGAAATCATGAAGCAGGTAAGAAAACATAAGCTACTGTGGGGAATTTTTAAAAACCTATATGATGTGCACACTTAACTATCATTTGTGACATCATTTTTTTATTATTTCACCTATATAATGTGTGTGTGTATATATACATATATATTAAAAATTATATTTTGGAAAAAAGGTTTCTCATTCACAATTTTAAATTTTCTTAGAACTCATCAAAAATTTGTTTGAGATAAACAGTACAACGTAACTACTTCATTTGCTGACTTAAAATGTAAAACCACCTCAGTATTGGGAGATATTTATTACTGTGTTTCCTGTGGAAAAAAATCTTCCAGCAAATGTGTGTCCTCTAGGAAGTTTTCAGTCAAGTCCATAGGGAATGAAGCATTTATGCTAATTATTTCATTATATGTTTTCCCTGGTTTTTGTTTTGTTTTCAGATGAATGTAAAATGGAAAATTCAAACTTCAATAATTGTGAATTTTCTTATAAGAAAAAACATAAAAAGGAATGAAGAAGTGAAACTATCAGAATGCAACATGGTCTTATACTAATGTTCAGATGTACCTTATTACACAGATATTTAAATTAATTTCAGAGGGGCTACTCATAGTAAGAAAACATTCAGCATGAGCAAGGGTGGATCCATCAGGCCCTAAATAATTTATTCAGATGGCTTAAATCTATCTTCTTCAAATGTCTTTTAGCGTATGTAAAAAAAATAAAAATAAAAAAAGCTGCATCTTCCCTGCTATATTGCTATTGTACAATATACAGTATCTGGGTTTACTCTTTTATATAACTGTGTTCATGTATTTTTTTTGCTCAAGATCGTCAACCAAGTGTCTGGTACATGAAATAAAATACATCTTTGGTAATCATTTTAAATTTGGGGTAATGAATGTATTATAGTAATAGGAACAACAGCAGGGAAATCAATTAAAGAAATGTGTACTGTATCTCCTTTAATAAATGATTATTCTCTTGTCATCTTTGTCTTGCATTCTTGCTATTTCTCAGAAAATGTACAGGGGCACTTACTTAGAAATAAAAAAGAAATAGATAAATGGAAGAGTTCTTCCAGTGGCACGGAATGATGGGTAATGTTTCTAGAGCCCTGACCAAATCCCACAGGGAAAGACCCCATCCTTTCTGGACTGTGTGGGATTATTCTACAAGGAGGGAAACTGGGGTAAGAAAATTTCCATTTGGATTGTTGGAGCCCCAAATGTGTACTAGAACCTATTTATTTTTAATGTAGACAGGCTATGTGAGATTTGCTTATCTTTCACGGAAGATAGGTTTTGGAATGTCAGTAGATAGCAGTGAAGCTTTTTGATTTACTGATCAAAACTTAAGCTTTCTACAAAAAATTGCAAACTACAAATTTAATAGAAACATTTATTATATAGATTTTAAATTTCAGTGAAATTGACTGCAGTGGATTTAAACACTAGCACAGTGGTTAGCAGCGCACTGGCCGCATGTGGCCTACTGAGACTCCACCTGCAGCTTGTGAACCTTCTATCTGCCCCCTCCCTCGTGGGGGTGTCTCACTCTGGGGCACTGGAGCCCCACGCTGGCTGTTCCAGCTCTGGGCAGGAGCGGGATGCAGCATGAATCAGATGATGTGGTGCTCCAAAAGTGCTGGGAGGGTGGGAGAATAGTAGGGCCCACTGAACTGGATAGCCACTCATGCAGCCCATTCACTCTTCTTGGTTGCCCATTGCTGCTGTAGCAAATGCTGTATGTGTAAAATACATGTCACATTAGACCCCTGCATGAGGGCTTGTAGGCACTACTGTCCTCCTCCTAGTTGTATTTAATTAATAATTATTTGTGTCTTGACAGATCTGCACACTCTAAGGCACCTCCTCATCGGTTTCATCAGGGTCACTTGTCTATTTCACGTAAGGGAGGTTTGAAAGTTGTTGCACTATTGCTAAACATTCACCACGGATTATGGATATGAAAGGGTAAAGGAGTACACTGTTAAAAGAAGCATGCCCTCTCTCGTCCTATTTCAGAGGCAGCAGTGGGAGCTCCTCATGAGCACCAGCTTCTGGGAAGTTCCTTACCCGCCCTCCAATGCTGCTGCAGAGGCAACAGTACCACGGTGCATGGGAGCCAGCATGTATCAGCTGCTTTGGCACACCCCACTGCCTCTGACATGGAGTAGTGAGGGGAGGGGCAGGGGGACAGATGGGAGCTGGTGCACATGGAAGCTGGCTTTTCAGTTGGCTTCACACAAGCTTGCTGCCTCTGATACAGAGCTTGTGTTGTTGCAGAAGGAAACTGTCATGAAAACAACTCCCTGTTGTCAGGAAGCTTCACTCTAGAATACAGCAGGATTGTAAAACATGCTTGTCATGGCTCCTTCCCCACTCTGGCATGATAAATGCAGAAGTGGGGGCCAGCAAGTGTACCCCAAAGCCTTATCTACCAGGCTTTGGTATAAAACTTCCCCAAAAATCTTAAAAACCTAGATTTTGGGAATAAAACTTCCGCTGCCACCACCCAAATGTTGATAACGAGATTAGGGGAAAGATCATTTGGGAAATCTCACCCCATTATAAAAATCAGGACACACAAGTAACCAATGCCAGGTTAATAAAAAGAAAAGAGAACTTTTATTATTACAACAATATTCATGTTGCAAGCATAAGGATGAGATGGAAAGGCGACAAAATATACTCATGGAGAAACTCCATGGGCCTAGAGCTTAGTTACAAAGAAAAGCCAAAACATCTTTTAAACAGTGCCAGATCTCAGATCCCATACCCAACCCTTAAAACAATAAAGCCTAATGAAACTACTTAAACATTACCCTACTTACAGAAAATGAAGAATTGTTTCTTGGAGAGAAAGACCTGCTTGTCCCTCTATGTAGCTGCAGAGGACTCTCAGAGACAAAAGGGAGAAAGGAAAGAACCCAAAATCCTTTGTCCCAGTTTGAAAATCCCACCTACATTCCTACTGGTCACTCCACCTGGCTAGGTGTAGTTAACCCCTTAATCCCCAGGCTGCTGGCTAACCCTCATAATCATGACACCCCTCACTTCAAATTAGCTGTCTTAACTAGACTACTTATTAGAACCCTGGAAGATGGACCAGCAGAGAGACCTTAGGTAGAGGGATGCATGAAGAAGCCTGCTTGAGCAGGAATTGTCAGAAGGCATAGAGAGCAATGACACTCAGACTGAGGCTTGAGTCTCACATGTGACTTGATGTTTCACCTTCAGCTCATGTTAAAATGCTGTGTAATTTAACTAAACAATAAGAATGTTTACTATGTTAATAACCAATTGTAGTTGATAAAATATTTGGTCAGTCATTTTGCTATGAATTATAATACAAAAATGATACGTGAATTCACACTACTGTGGCTCCCTTAGGTAATGCTGACCACTAATTTGGCTCCTGAACCACTGATTTCAGAGTATCACTGACTTATAGCCCGGTGATGGGCATCTTAAGTTAGGGAGTGGGCCACAGGAGTGGCCCTCCATCTCAGTGGGCCACAAGACTGTTGTATCCATGATGGTTTCCCAAGTTAAGATAGTTTTGCTAACTGTGCTTACATACCTAGAATTTGCAGTGTGCCGACTGAACCCTAGCAGTGCTCTGACTGGATACAGAGGGACTGCATGGCTTCTACAGTCACTGTTGTGTGCAATCAGCACCTGCCTCACTTCATGTGGTTGTTACTTCAGTAATACAAATTGTGGGGGGGGGGGGGGAAGCGCAAGAGGGACAAC